TTCAAGATCAAAGATCGTACGATGCATCTGATTATGTTTCATTTGTCTTTGTAAACCTTAAGAACTGTCCCCACTCCACGTTTTGTTGTGTTTATGATGCTGACTCTTTATTTTAATTTATTTCTGGGGGCACCTCGGTGGCTCAGTCAGTTAAACGTCTGCCTCTGGCTCAGGTCAGATCCCGGGGTTCTAGGATCAAGCCCTGCATCAGGCTCCCTGATCAGGGAGCATCAGGCTCCCCGCTGATCAGGGAGCCTTCTCTGCCTCTCCTTCTGTTGCTCCCCCTGCTTGTTCTCCCGCTGTCAAATAAATAAATAAAATCTTTTTTTTTATTTTTTTTTTTTTAATGTAGGCTCCACATCCAACACGGGCCTTGAACTCACGACCCTGGGATCAAGAGTCACATGCTCTACACACTGAGCCAGACAGCCACCCCAGACATCGACTCTTTCTAGAGTCCGGCCAGCTGTCTCCAAGACTATCTGGCGTTCTGGGTTTGTCTGTTTCCCCACGATTAAATTCAGGCTCAACATCTTCGACACAGAAGTAAAAGACGATACTGTATACATCTTACCATACCCATCCTATCAGGAGGCACACAAGGCTGGTTTAATACAGATGACGAAGCTGAACTTGACTGTGTGTGGAATCCAGGCACATCATCTCTTCCCGCCACATCCATGTGTTCACTAACTGGGAAGCTACACTGAGCTTTCACGTCCAAACATTTACTGGGATTTCCTTCACTCCATTTGTAAAGGTACATTTTATCCTTTGTAAAGAGCAAAATATCTGAAAGGGTATGTTCCCCCCACTGATTTATTTATTTTTGGCGCATCTAAGTGGGTTAGTTTGGGGGATATTTTGAAACTATGTGACTATCTGTTCCCCAAAGGCATTTCACCCAATCCTTGCTTAAATCAATTATTACACGGGATTGAAAACAAGTGATTTTCTAATTCGATCATGGCTTCTATATTTATTACCTGAAAACCTTCTACAAAGACGTTCTCCTGTACCTCCTCTTTGTTCAGTAGCACAACGACTGATTTTCTTTTAATTTGACACACTAGAATCCACATGGTCATTATATAATCACTGCGCTCATCTTTGATGCCCAAAGTGTCCCCAGTTTGGCCTGTGGGAAACTCTCTGAGCTAGTTCTTACGTCCTTTGGACGTATCTCCGTCAGTCACTGAGGATCTACTTTCCCAACGAGATGTCCCAGGCCCATGTGACTCTCCTTTCCTCAACCCTGGAAGAAGTCATTTTTCCAAGAAGTCCCGGTTCCTTTAAGTGAAGGAGGACATTTAGAAAACCAGATTCGAGCGCTCACTACCTTGGTTTCCAGGCCTGCGGCATAACAGAGCACACATCTGTTCTCTGTCCCCAGTTCCTGGCAGGGAGCTTCAGAAAACCTTGGCATTTTCTAAGTGCCAGAAGGGTCACTGTTATGCAAATGAGGTGACTGGACTGGGGGGGGTGTCCCTAAATAGCTTCAGGATGGGGGCTGGTCATCGGAAAGACCAACAGCTCGGTGCAACTTGGGCCAGCTGGATCTGCAGGGCAAGAAACAGGAAGGGAGGTCAGCTGGAGAAAGGAGAACGAGTTCAGTCCGTGGCCAATGACCTACTCGGCCGGGCCTATGCAATGAGACCCCAGTAAGAGTTCCGGATATGGAAGCTCAGCACAGCTCCGTCAGTGAACTCGGGGTGCGGCGGGAAGGGGCGATGTGCCTGGATTTACAGAAACTCTTGAGTCTCTTCCCCATCCCTCTGCTCTCAGACCTTGCTCTACGTGTCTTTTCCAGTGGTTGTTTCTAATTTGCATTCTTTCAAACTGTCATTGTGAGTGCTTTCGGTGAGTTCTGGGTCATTCCAGCAAGTTCCCGAAACAGGGGGGATCACGAGACCCCCAAATCTATAACCAGTTGATCCGAAGTACTGGTGGCCCCCAACTGAGAGCTGCCAACGGAAGTGGAGGCCGTCTCGGGCAAGACCATGACCTACACCTGCAGAGTCTGAGGCTGACTCCAGGTGGTGTCGGAGTCAAACCCCACAGCAGGTCACCTGCACTGAACTGGGTTAGCTGGGGTCAGAGCACGAAGGGTTCCGGGGCACCTGACTGGTGCAGGTGATTAAGCGTCCGACTCTAGGTTTTGGCTCAGTCGTGATCTCACTATCATGAGATCGAGCGAGCCACGGCAGCCCCGTGTCAGGCCCTACACCCAGCACCGAGTCTACTTGAGATTCTCTCCCTGTCTCTCTGCCCCTCCTGCTCATGCTCTCTCTTTCTCAAATAAACAAATATATCTTTAAGGGAAAAAAAAAAAAAAAGAATATGAAAGGTTCTTTCCGCAAACACAGCTACAAATACTATTTACACACACACACTCAAATTACAAATGTGTAAATGTGCCATGACAATAAACACATCTTATTTTTAAAAATCGGATGTTCAGGTCAACTCCCAAATCAAATCCAACACCACATGAAAATCACATTAATACACGTGAATCCACCTTATCAATTTTTTTAAGTAGGCTCCATACCCAGTGCGGAGCTCAACACAGGGCTCAAGCTCACGACCCCGAGACTAAGACCTGAGCTGAAATCAAGTGCGTAACCAACTGAGCCACCCGGACGGCCCCCGCCTTACCGCTTTCCACAGCTGCACAACAGTATCTATACAGTGCGGATAATTCATGCTTTTCCAACCAAGATCTGGCAGTTGTTCGCTACACGTGCTTATAGCTAGCTTTGTGTGTTCGCTGTTTTGTACTTGTAAACCTGGATCTGCAAGGCAAATCGCACATCTGGGCCTGCTGGATCGTGAGTAAATGCACGAGAATTTGGGAGACTACCAAAAGCCCCCGGTTACGCCACTCCAGACTCCCATCACCAAGCTGCACACACCTGTTCTCCCCGAGCCTCACCGGCTGCGTGTCCAGTTTCTGAACATTCGCTGTTCCGGCAGGTGAGAAATCTCGGTCGGTGTGGTTTCAATGTGCATGTCCTTCATTTTAAGTGAATCTGAGCATTTTTTCATATGCTTAAAGACCATCTGTGCAACTTTTTTAGAGACTTGCCTATTCGAGGGGGTTGGACAATTTTTCCATGAGGTTTCAGGTCTTTTTTCTTTCAACTTCTAAGAGCGATTTGTAGAGTAGAAAAATTAACTCCTTCTTTATTATATAAAAGGCAAATATTTTCCCCTCTTTATCATTTGTCTTTTGACTTGCAAAATCTTTTTTAAAAACCATTGGTAAATTCAATCTTTTATTGCTTCTAGATTTTTAAATTTATTTTAAATTAACATATAATGTATTATCTGTTTCGGGGGTACAGGCCTGTGAGTCATCACTTACACACTTCATAGCGTTCACTATAGCACAAACCTTCCCCGGTGTCCATCACCCGGCCACCCTATTGCTTATAGATTTTGAATCATACAGAAAACCTTCCTCCAAGTTCAAAATAATGCATCTAAGTCAACTCTGTTATTTATATATTTTTTCAACACTGAGATTTCTGACCCAATGTAATTCATCCCAACACACATAAGAGGCAGAGCCAATTTTAAATTTTCACAAGTAGCTATCTAGTTGCCAATATCATCTCTCTTAAAAGTGTGTTTTTTCCCTCAGGGAAAAGAGATACCACCTTTTTATATACAAAATTCCCATATATTTTGGGGTCTATTCCTGAAATTTTACTCTGTTGCGTGGATCTGTCTCAAAAGGAGCCAAAACAGTTTTAATTAGATACCTCATAGTAAGTTTTAACATCTAGTAGGACTGGTTTTTCTCCTTACTATGCCAAGGCTTTCCTCACCACTCTCACATGTTTATTTTTCCACATGAATCAATAAGGCCGGCTCCAGGAAAAAAAAAAAAAAAAGTTATTGAAACTTAATTTTTTAATGGGATTTCATCAAATTTGTGTATTAACAAGAAACGGCATCTTTAGAACAGAGCCACCATATCTACAAACAAGAGGTGTGACTATTCAAGGCATTTTTGTATCTTTCAGGAATACTTTCAGTTTTCATCAGAGATTTAGGACATTACTTTTCAGGATTATTTCTATATCCTTATTTACCTTTTACATAGCTGCTGGAGAGGAATTTTCTCTTCTGCCAGGGCTTCTAACTGGTTATTGTTTGGAAATGTACTATTATATCCTGTCACTTTACTGATTTCTTTCATTTGAGGTTGTGTTAATTTTATCATTGATTTTCTGGGATTTTTCCACGGTTTTATCTCTTTTGTTTCTAACACTTATGCACTTGCTACATCTGTAGTAGGATATTCTCACTTCCCAAAACTTATATATAAATCGAGTCTATATGATTTTCTGCTCTTGTGTATATTACACTATTTCAATTTCAGACCACTGGAATGTGTGTCAAATCCTCCCGCACCGTCCGCTCTCACATTCCTCTGACCACGACAACGACAAGCCAAACTAACATCTCCCGAACTCCTAGGTCCTCCACCTACGCTGATCTTAGCCCCGACAAACCAAGGTGCTGTCCCTAAACCCAACATGGCTCAGTCTCTGGGACAGGGAAGCACCTGTAAGGGAGGTCCCCCTGGAATCCCAACACGATCTTTTCATGCTGCTCAACCCGTCTCTCCAGCCACAGCACAGAATGAAGCCCCTGTAACCATCTGCCCTTTCCTCAGCTCCTGCCCTGGGAGCCAGGTGAGCGTCCAACTCTTGATCCAGGCTCAGCTCACACTCTCAGGGTCCTGAGATCAGCCCTGTGTCGGGCTCTGCCCGGGGCGTGGAGCCTGCTCGACGGCCTCTCTCTCCGCCCATTCTCTTCCCCTCGCCCCGCTCGCACTCTCTACCCTAAAAAACTTAAAATTTTTTTCAAAATTGTTAAAAGATGGCAAAGATGTCAGGAAGAAGGCCCAGAAAGACGACTCAGATGGAGTCTGAGCCAGGTGGCAGCCAGTTGCAGGGTCCACACTGCCTCTCCCAGGGTTACGCTACCTTTTCTCTCTTCACGCAGCTCACAATCCTGCCGAGGTCCTCAACATCAACGACAGGATTCAGATTCGGAGGGTCTTTGGCACCGGACTCGTCCTCACTGGTGCTCTCAAAGGGCTCTTCCTCCTGGAACATCAACGCATCGAAACACACTGTTCAAAGTAGCAAAGCTCCCAAACTGTGAGTCCCTGGAGAGATATGAGATGTATTAGGCCAGAGGTCAGCAAGCCAAGCCCCACAAGCCGAATGCAGCTAGCCTCAGGCCCAATCCAAGGGCAACCGTCACTTTACGCATCATCTGTAGCTACTTTTACACATCACCGTGAGACAGCGGCAGGATTAACAGCTGCAACAGAAACCATCCGACCCATAAAGACGGAATATCCACCAGTGAGCCCTTCACAGAAAAAGTTTCCTGATCACTGTCTGAGACACAGAAACAACCAGGCTTAGTGAGGAACTAAATGCAGGAATGAGGAAAAGGAAGGACTTAAGCATGGTTTCAAGTTTCTTCTAGAAGTAATTGAGTTGGTGGTGCCGTTCACTGAAATGAGAAAGATGAGGGGAGAAACAGACCAGGAGTAGAAGTGAAAAGCTCCATTTTGAATGTGTAAAGTGTGAGATGCCTCATTCAAGCGGAGATTTTTAAAGAGGATGCACAGACGGGAACAAAATCAGGGCAAACCTCAGGGCTGGAAATATAAACCTGGGACTGGCCAGCACACAGACAGAACACAAGGCCACGAAACTGGATAAGCTCATCCAGGAAGAAAGTACCAACAAAGAACCGCACACCAAGCCCTGAAACACTGCACCACGTAGAGGTTGGAAAAGGGAGGACGATCCCAAGTGGAAAAGAAAGCAAAGCATGAGAATGGTATGGACAGTCAGGGGGAAGTGATTCAAAGAAGTCAGTACCAAACACCACAGAGCAGTCAAGTAAAATGAAGACACAGAAATATCCTCGGGGCCTGACAACACTGTGTCCTGAGGCCTGGGGAAGAGCAGTCGCTGTGGGGCAGAGAGCCAGTCTGGAGAGCCAGTCCGGAGTTGGGGGGTGTGACCTGGGACTTCTGCTCCCAGATGCCGGGTGAAGGGCACTGAACACCCCCACTCTGGAAAATAACACGGGGGCTCAGCTGGTTGGGTGTCTGCCTTCGGCTCACATCATGGTCTGGAATCCTGGGATCGAGCCCCCCATCAGGCTCCCTGCTTGGCGGGGAGTCTGCTTCTCCCTCTGCCTGCTATTCCCAGAGCCTGTGCACACTCTCTCTCTCTCTTCCACTCTTGTTCCATCTCAAATAAATAATTATTTTTTTAAAAAAAGAAAAGAACACTAAATAACAGAGTATTTTAATAACACAATTTTAAAAGTGTCACTGAGTTGGCAAACATAGGATGAATTCAAAGTGGACAAATATGAACTAAAAAGGGTAGAGGTAAGTAAGCGAGAGACGGAACAGAGAGCATCCGCCGGCCTCTAGAGAATCTGACAGCCAGACAGGACCCAGGGAAAAGCAGGCAAAGTCAAGGAGATGATACGGGGAGGAGAGACTAACACAGAAGACCAAAGTCAAAGCTGGCACCCTACGAGGCTGCATTTCTCATATACAGATAAATTAGAAATAAATATTCTGTGCAGGAGGAGAAAGCAGAGAAAACAGGCAGAAAATTAGGGGGAAAAAACAGAGCAAAGAAAAAATAAAAGGATATTCCAAAGCTTCTAAAGTTTTGGGGAGGGGTAGAAGAGAATCTTATAATAAAAATTCAGAATCAAATTAAACTGAAGTTCCCAAAAGCAATACTCTAACTAGAAGAAAGTTGATCAATGTGGTCAATTTTCTGGGGGAAAAAATGAAATTTACTCTGATCTAGAACTCTACTAAGTGAAGGATCAGTTTACTCCAAGTGCACAATAAAGAATACAGACATGAAAATTCTGAAAATTTCCTTCCAAAACAACCCTCCTCACACCCTAGAGAATGTGCTCCAAAATGAGAGTCAACCAAGAAATAGGAAGACAGGAGATACCAGAACCAGGGACTCCAACCCAGGAAGCCAGTCAACGGAAGGACTTCATCCGTACCAAGTCTTGGAGAAGAGCCATGCATCCAAAACCATGGAGGAGAAAGGAATCGTGAGAGCCCTCCAAGAAATCAATAAAAACTACAGGATACTGAAAAATAATTTCCAGTTCCACTAGAATTTTGGAATGAGTCAGTGACAATCATAGAGAGATGAAAGCAGATGCAGCCACTACCTAAGGGAAGTAAGTGTACAGGAACGAACACGGGACACCACAGAACAAAGACGGGAGGAGCACGTGCACAGTCAACAGATACGGTCTGGCCAGGAAGTGAGATCCAACCGCACAAACAAAATGAGAGGAAGGGAAGTGATACCATTTGTGTGTCCATGTGAGACAGAGACAGAGACTTTGAACTGCTTTAAAAATCAAGAAATAGCAAGAAGAGCCTATTATTTAGGAATACAGAGGTAAATATCTGATGAAAAAGCTAGAATTAAAAATGACTGCCCTGGGAAAGTAAGAATTAGAATAAGGCAAGAGAATATAGTTTGTTTGTTTGTTTTTTAAAGATTTTATTTATTTATTTGACAGAGATCACAAGTAGGCAGAGAGGCAGGCAGAGAGAGAGGGGGAAGCAGGCTCCCTGCTGAGCAGTGAGCCCGATGCGGGGCTCGATCCCAGGACCCTGGGATCATGACCTGAGCCGAAGGCAGAGGCTTAACCCACTGAGCCACCCAGGCGCCCCAAGAGAGTATAGTTTTTAATTATAAGCCTAGAAGCACTATTTGAGGGTTTAAACGTACAAGTGTTACTTTTGATTAAAAAAAAATTTTTTTTATCTAAGTTTGTTTAAATGTCAAGACCCGAGGCTGCTATCAGCCAAAATGGCAGAGCAGGCGACTCCACGGGGCTCTCCTCCCACAGAAACAACCAAAAGTTAGGATTTAACTCTGACTAATTCCCAGAGATCTGACAAAGGTTTACAAGAACCAAGTAAACACTGAATCGAGAAAAAGGAAACTTGCGATGCCTGCGTGGCTCAGACGGTTGAGCGTCCAACTCTTGATCTGGGCTCAGGTCATGGTCTCAGGGTCCTGGGATCGAGTCTCGCATCAGGCTCCGCACTCAGCAGGGAGTCTGTTTTAAATTCTCTCGCCCTCTCCCTCTGCCCCTCCCCCTCCTCGAGCCCAGGCACACAGACTCTCTCTCAAAAATGAATAAATAAATCTTAAAGAAAATTATCATATGAGCTCTCTGATATGAGGAATTTGAGAAGCAGGGCAAGAGGTCGTAGGGGGTAGGGAAGGAAAAAGTGAAACAAGATGGGATCGGAGGGAGACAAACCGTAAGACTCTCTAAATCTCACAAAGCAAACCGAAGGCTGCTGGCGGGTGGGGGCTAAGGATGGGGCGGCTGGGGGATGGGTATTGGGGAGGGTGTGTGCTATGGTGAGTGCTGCGAAGTGTGTAAGCCTGATGACTCACAGACCTGTACCCCTGAAACAGATAATACATATGTTAATAGAAATAAATCAATCTTTTTTAAAAAAAAGGAAACTTAAAAACATCCAAGGAAATCTGCCACAACAGTAGCTGAAAACAAACTGAAGAAACAGATTTCAGAAACCATGCACAATAGACAGTTTTCACCAAGTCACTAAACAAACAATTACAACCCAACAAACTACAGAAATAAACCCTGAGCAGGGAAAGAATCTGACTTCCAGAGCTGATGTATTACGATATTCGGAACTTGCAGCTTTCAACACAACGGCACAGAGAAGGACTAAAACAGTCTGGCCCGCCCGAAGGAGAAATCAACCAAAACCATCCCTGAGGAAACGCAGACTCCCCCAATAAAGACTTCAAGTCAATGGTCTTAAAAATGCTCCAAGGGGGCGCCTGGGTGGCTCAGTGGGTTAAGCCTCTGACTTCAGCTCAGGTCATGATCCCGGGGTCCTGGGATCGAGCCCCGCATCGGGCTCTCTGCTCAGCAGGGAGCCTGCTTCCTCCTCTCTCTCTCCATCTGCTTCTCTGCCTACTTGTGATCTCTAATAAATAAAAATAAAATCTTAAAAAAGAAAAAAATGCTCCAAGACCTGAAGAAACCCAGAACGACGTCCCAACAGAGAACATCAACACAGAGACAGAAATTATAGAAAGGAAACAAAGAAATTCTTGCTCTGAAAAGACTAATAACTGAACTAAAAATGTCACTAGAGGTTTTAGCAGCAGATCTGGGCAGGCAGAAGCAAAGCAAACGTGATCACGGATCAGCTGGAAACGGGCCGATCTGAAAACAAGTGTCCCAGCACCTAGAAAAGGGGCACTCTGAAACACGGGACCGAGAATGTACTCAACACCAGTGCGCCACATCCTTTACAACAGTTAATCGGTTCGTCGTATGTACGTGCATTTTACCTCAATTTTATCAAACAGTGTAGAAACATATTAAGGACCAATGGGAGGGGCGATAAGCAAACACAAGCAGAAAGACTAGCTAGAGGGGCGCCTGGGTGGCTCAGTGGGTTAAAGCCTCTGCCTTCAGCTCAGGTCATGATCTCAGGGTCCTGGGATCGAGCCCCGCATCGGGCTCTCTGCTCAGTGGGGAGTCTGCTTCCTCCTCTCCCTCTGCCTGCTGCTCTGCCTACTTGTGATCTCTGTCTGTCAAATAAATGAATAAAATCTTAAAAAAAAAAAAAACAAAAAGACTAGCTAGAAAAGAGAACAGGAAATACAAACAGCAGCGGACACATACAGAATGAAGGAAACATTTGTTTCTTATTTGCTTTTCCTGTTCCTTTGAACAGGATGACTCCAAGGCCATGTTCATCAATCTACAGAACAATGTAATGGTGGGGAAGAGACAAACAAGAGACAGAAAGAGACCCAGAAAACACAGAGAAAAAGCCCTTGATCCCAGAGCACAAAGTGGCTTTGACAGGAGTCGGTCAGGCCCACGGTGTCCTGCGGCACAAGAGACGGGGAGGGAAGCGTTACAGGAGACCTGGCAGCTTCCCATGATAGCTGGAGGAACACGCAGGGAGAAAAAGTACTGAACAGCCAGTCCCCTGGGAGAGCGAGAAGGGAACTTAAACAAGAACGCTGGATGCTGCTGGGCAGGTCTGAGTGCACACATGGGCCTCGAACTGGGGTCAAGGAGCAGGCAGCATGGAAACCGGCGGGCAAGGGGCAGGTTTCAACCTGGTCTGGGGTCTGACTGGTCGGGTTAGTAGACTGGAAGGCAAGGCAACTGGAGATCGTTCGTAAAAGAATGAGCATAAAACCCAAACTGGGAAAGGACAGAAGCGGCGTAAGCAGTTTTCATTATCCCATGAAAAAGGTATGAAACCAAAAGAATTTTAAAGTAGGACACGTGAGAGACCAGAGGCGAGGTCATGGGAACACAAAATTTCAGAGGTGACTGCGGAAGTGAGGGGCCAAGGTCAGCGAAGGCAACGGCTGCTGGAGGCATGAAGGCCAGGCACCTGGCAGGCAGGACACTGCGTCAGTCACCCGCACGAAGCTTTCCCCAAAGGGGAATGACAGGAACAGGGTGCAGAGAAAGTGAGTCAGAAAGTAAGGCGGTTCCTGAATGACACAAGTGAGCGGGCGACCAAAGGCAGACTGACAGCCGTGACGGCAGCGGCACCGTCCGGTGACACGAGCTTCTGAGGAACAAGGACCGGACACGCTTAGAAAGTGAGGGAAAAAAGAGAGGAACCGAGGGTGACGGGCAGCCTTCCAGTCCGAGTGACTAACGCAGCCGTCCAGCGAGAGAGTCGGGAGGAAGACGTGCTTAGGGGACACGAGGTTGGGACACACGTAAGCTCAGCCTCAGCAACGACAGCAGAAGCCCCCAGGCCGGCGCCACCGCCGTCGCAGAGAACCGGGAGGCGCGGCGCGCACGCGGGCAGCCCTGGGAAGGCCCGCCTGTCGCACACGCCGCCCCGGAGCCGCATCTCCCTCCTAACCAGAAGCCAGGGACAGCGTTTCTGGGGGCAGAGGTGAGGCCCAGCGAGCACCCACACGCAGGACAGCAGCGAGAGCCGGACACGGGGCTGCATACCGCGGACGATCCGCACTGGCCTCTCTCGCAGCTGCCCTCACAGGGCTTCTTCTCTCCTTTCTCGAGTGTCTGCAGCTGAGCGAGGAACTGGGTCTTCCAGGCTCTGAAGTCGGCCTCGATGCTGCCGTGTGTGCTGTTCGCCACGTCACAGTCCCCCTCCCCTCTCGCCACCACGCGGTGGGCACCAAGCATCCAGAGCCACTTGTCAACGTTCCTGCCAACCTGCGAGAAGACAGAGGAGCTAAGACGCAGTCCTCGAACTAGCAGGCCGGGAGCTGGCCCTGCAAAGGGCCCGAGTTCCTCCGGGACGCCATCACCGAGCCCGTCACCGAGCCCGTCACCGAGCCCGTCACCGACGCCGTCACCGACCCCGTCACCAGTCACCGACCCCATCACCGGCCCCGTCACCGGCCCCGTCACCAGTCACCGACCCCATCACCGACCCCGTCACCGGCTGCTGCCAGAAGAGGAACTTGGCCTCAACGGGCCCTCCGGCCCCAGCCACAACCTACAAACACTACAAACACTACACTGGCTACAGCGGACAGAACCCGCAAAAGACTCTTTATAAACAAAGGGACAAAGCCCTTTACTAGGGTAAGGGTTGCTGCCTTTAAAAAACTGAAAACTACTATTCTAAGTCAGGGTCAGAATAAAGTAACTCGTTAGCAAAGAAACTTTGTTCCAAAAGGCAGCAAAGCCCACGTTAATAACAAAGGGCCACGCAGTCCGTCTGGCCAGACTCAGACCTCAGCAGCTCCAAACTCCGACGCGCTGCAGGCGGCCGCGGCTGAGCTGGCACGGCGGCTACCGAGCAGCACGGTGAGGAGTTCAAAATCCGAACGGGCTTCCTGAGGACCAGGCACTACACAGAGCGTGTACACGCCTGAACTGAACCGGTTTGGGGTCTACTTCCTTCGAAAATATGGTCAGAAACACACACCTTGATACAACAACTGAACGAAAACAAGCTTAAGGAAAGACCTGCACCTGCACCTGCACTCACGTTCTACCGTGGACACGTGGGCCAGGTGGGGCCCATGTTGGGAAGAGGTACAAGTACAAAAGTTCTAGTAACTGTTAAGAACCACAAGAAACAGGGGCGCCTGGGTGGCTCAGTGGGTTGGGCCTCTGCCTTCAGCTCGGGTCATGGTCTCAGGGTCCTGGGATCAAGCCCCGCATCGGGCTCTCTGCTCGGCGGGGAGCCTGCTTCCCCTGCTCGCTCTGTCTGCCTCTCTGCCCACTTGTGATGTCTCTCTCCCTCTGTCAAATAAATAAATAAAATCTTTTTAAAATTAAATAAAGTATAGAGAACAGACTGCAAAAGGAGCCAAATTAACTTCATTAGAAAAAAGATCTAGGAAAACAAAACAATGTTTTATTACTTAAAAGACAATAAATGTCTTTCTTATACTTCCCTTTAAAAATTAATGACCAAAGCGTAGTAAGTCAATCAGAGAAAGACAGCTATCATATGATCTCCTTGATATGAGGAAGTGGAGATGCAATGTGGGGGGTTAAGGGGGTAGGAAAAGAATAAATGAAACAAGATGGGATCGGGAGGGAGACAAACCATAAGAGACTCTTAATCTCACAAAACAAACTGAGGGTTGCTGGGGGGAGGGGGGAGGGAGAGGGTGGCGGGGTTATGGACATTGGGGAGGGTATGTGCTATGGTGAGTGCTGTGAAGTGTGTAAACCTGGCGATTCACAGACCTGTACCCCTGGGGTTAATAATACATTATATGTTAATAAAAAAAAAAAAGAAAGAAAGAAAGAAAGAAAAATCAATGATTAAAAGACAACGAGCTCAACTGTATTTAGGGTTAGCTTGAGCCATAAAGGTTGTTCAACAACAGAACAGGCGGCTAAGAAAGTCCAGAGAATCAGTGATCCTCATCCCCAAGGTCCTGCCTGGGGACAGCACACTGAACACGATGGCCATGAACCCAGGCCACGATGACATCAGACAACAGGAGGTATAAGCATTTTATTCAATAAAAATTTACCTGGGAACCTACTACACCCCATGCGTGGATGCATATATGTAGCAATTCCCCCCAAAAAGAGTAACCCAAGAAGTTTATTATTAAACACCAAAGTTTGGGGACGACGTCACATGCACATGTGAATGTGTGTGCGTGTGAATTTTGTTTTAATTACACTAGAGAATTTACCCCCCTATTTCCACACATACCTACCTTGTTGAAGTGGCGCGCATAGGCAGAATTTCCCAGGCCAAACACAGCGTACCTCATACCCTTCAGGTAAGTTTTGCCAAATCGAAAGTCACTGGCCGCTTCCTCCAACCACTTACAGAACCACACTGCGCTTTCAGTGGGTCGACCGTCGGTGTACGTAGCAACCATGAAGGCACAAACGTTTTTACTAGTGACCTAACAAGAAAGTAATTATTTCAGATGAATATTTAACATACAACTTATCAGTAAGAAAATCCCTTTTTGAAAAGCTGACAACCATGGGCGCCTGGGTGGCTCAGTCGTTACGTGTCCGCCTTCGGCTCAGGTCATGAGCCCAGGATCCCGGGATCGAGCCCCATGTTAGGCTCCCTGCTCAGCGGGGAACCTGCTTCTCCCTCTCCCACTCCCCCTGCTTGTGTTCCCTCTGTCGCTGTGTCTCTCTGTCAAATAAACAAATAAAATCTTTTAAAAATAAATAAAATAAAATAAAAATGCTGACATCCACATGAATACTAATCCCTAAGGACAAAGGTGCTTTCAAAGCATTACTCATTTTCAAAAGTGAAAGAAAACAAAGCAAGGACACCACGCATGGGGAGAAAACCCAGTCTCCTGCTCCTGCCAATATATTCCCCAGGGCCCCTAACGATATACTCCATTCCAATTCCCAAGCAGTAGTTCCTATGGTCTCCAGTTGTCATACAGGAACAAAATCCAAATCAGGAAAAAACACAGGAAGAGATCTTTAAAATTACCTAAAAAATTAAAGCAACAAGACTTTTTAAATGTCAAGTAACTTATTCACTCGGTAACGTCATCTTCGTGGGGAAACAAAATACGCCTCCGTCCTGCTGGCCACGGTTTCCATCTCTTTGAATGCACCTTAGAAATTCTAAGTCATGAGGTAGGTTATAAGCAATCCATTATTAATAATAAAGTCTGAAAGGCTGCTAATAATTTTTCACAAGTAATTCTGAGCAGATTCAAGCGCGCTCATTTGCACTCCACTATTCTCTTACGGGAGAAAGAAATGGCCACAGCTGGCAAACGATGTGCCACCGGCCCAGTCCGGCCCACGGCTTGTTCTGTTCTGTTTCATACAGCGTTATCAGGACACAGCCACACTCATCCATTACGTATAGCCCACGGCTGCACAAAAGATGATGTTTGCCATCTGGTCCGTTCTAAGAGAAGTTCATCGACCCCTGCTCTACGAGCTTCAGAATCATCTGGAGCACCTGTCAAATTACCGTCCCACATCCAGGGCTGGGCTGCATTTCTAGCAAGTTCCCAGGAGATGCTGATACTGCCCATTCAAGGACCACACCGAGCACCCCTACTGTAAGGAAACTCCCCTGAGCACAGCTAAAAGGAAGGGGATTTCTCAGGTGCAGAAATTACACCCACGCAGATGTTAAGTAACGCAGGGACGTCACACAGGTAATAGATTCCTCTGACTTCACAATCCATACTCCTCCTGCTACCCAAGCGGCTCAGACCTCTTAGCTCACACGTGGTTCACCGGCCCAGCACATGCCACCCATCACCTTCGGTCCACTACGAGGTCGGTAGCAGGAGGGAGGAGGGAACGTCAAACCACCACCCTTTCCCACCCTCACTCCCGCCACAGTGAAGACCTCACGCAGGGGCCGGGTCCCACACCACACACTCAGCACCTCTGGCACTGCAAACTCAACCAACTCAAATTCCTCAGCATGAAAATTAAATTTATTCTGAAGATTCTACTTATCCCGGAATGCAGGTCAATCCCACTTGAGAGTCTGGACTGAAGGAAAACATGACCCAATCACCAACCTCCTCTACTAGATGATCATCTGGGTCATAGTCTTTCAGATCGATGACTGCCACAGGCAGATCTAGGGAGGTAACCGCTTCAGCAAGACTTGCTGCAAATCCCTAGTAGAGAACAAAAAAGAGAAAGATCACATAAAGTCCTCAAGAAGCTAAACAAGCAAAGCACAGTCTTCACTTACGCCGGCTGCCAAAGGAACAGGCGTTTATCGTGAGGAGCCTTTCCACTGACAAACGTTTAGCATCATCAACACAAACACTACTCCCACTTCTTCCACTTCCACAAGTCAGCCGTTCGGCTGTGCGGTTCTCACTCTGTATGGACACGTCCAGCACAAAATCTAAACGGGCTTTTGGCGATCCGGCGCCTTGCGCCATAGAATAGACATCAGGTGATAAGAAATCCTGGAGGGAAGAGAATGTGACGTAGGAGAAACGTGACACACTTCTGGAAGACAGAAAGCAAACAGAAGCAGGCTGACAGGGAGCAGAAAGCCCGAGGGGAGAGTCCCTATGCCTGACAGAACCCCGGACAGACTCTGGGCTCAGAAACAGCCACGACGGTGGAGCCAGGAAGGAAGCCCGGGGCAGAGAGGAACCGAGCAGCAGTCTGTAGACAGGACAAATGCACTCCAAGCCCAGGCAGCATCCGCCCTTCACCCCCCGACAAAACACCCGCTGGCTGACCGTCGGCTCCCCACCTCCCAGGACGAAAGCGAGGCCCACCGAGCATCTGTTACTTTAGTGGCATCTACCATGCAGACCGTCCTGTGCGGTATCACCCAAGAGTGACAATACGTGCACAGTCCCTACAGCAGGGAGCTCACGTTCTAGCGGACAGAAACGAGCAGACATGGAAATGAGAAAGGACACAGTTGGTCAGGTGATGACCAGTGCTATGGAAGAAAGTAAGTCAGGGTAAGAGGGCAGAAGACAGGGAAGGACAGATATGGGGACAATTGTTATTTTACACAGGGAGGGTCAGGACGGGCGCATGAGATCAAAAATAAATAAATATTCAGTCTTTCTCCCTAGTTCCTGGCACAAAGCTCCTAAAACACTTGGCACTTCCTGGCTCTGGTAAGCTAATGAGAGAACTCACGGGGAGGCAGGCCCCAGGTAGCTCCAGGCTGGGGGCCGGTCACCACAAAACCAACTATGTGATTAAAGGCTTAGAACTTTCACCACCGTTGCTCCCAGTGAGTTCAATCGTCCATGGCCTAGGATTTGAAATGTCCAGTAAAACCCCCACATGACAGGACTCAGTGAGTCTGTGGGTGCTGCTGTGCTGAAGCCATGGTGGGCACAGAGTGCGCATGGAAGCTCCAAGCCACCCTCCCCGCCAAACCTTGCCCTATGCGAGTCTACCACTGTCTGCGTCTGCCTTGTATCCTTCCTAAAACTGGGAAGCATACTTAGTCAAGAGATTTCCTGATTCTGTGAATCCTTCTAGGAAACGATCAAACCTAAGGAGAGGACTGCGGGGTCGACTTCATAGCTGGTCCAGTCACAAGCACAGGTGGCCCCTGGGACTTGGGACTGGCACCTGAAGCGGAGACAGCCATGCAGACTGCGTCCTTACACCCGTGGAGTCTGACGAAAACTCTGCATTGTTCGTGTCACAACTGGACGGCCAGTGTGGAGAAACGACACGTATGTGGTGCGACAGACTTGAGCCGAGCCTGAAGCATGTGGGAGACAAGCCACGAGGCTGCCCCATGCAGAGCAACGGGTACGTGAACAGGCCCACAGGAGGGAGCAGGCTTGGCAAGGAGGTCAACAGGACTGGGGACGTGAGGACCAAGGACAAGAGGTAAAAGAGACGGTGGAGAATCGGAGGCGAGGGCCTGCGGCCACTGGGAGGGCTCGGATTCACTCTAAGTGAACGAGGAGTGCTGGGTTTTAAGCTGAAGGGAACGTGATTTCACGTAAGTTTTCGAAGTCCCCGAGCTGCCGAGCTGAGAGGACACTGAGGCCAGGGGAGGGGCTGAGCAGCACTGAATGAAGGGGACCAGCCAGCAGGGAGGGGACCACAGTGACCCAGACAAAGGCAGAGGGTGCCGTGAGCCAGAGTGCTGAGACGCGGTCAGCAGCTGGATCCATTCTGAAAGTAGAACAAACAGCATTTGCTACAAAGGGCATGCGGGTAGCAGGAAAAAGAAGAGAATTCAAAGACTCGTTGTTGTTTTAACTAGTCAACTGGAAACAACTGGAAAGATGAAGTTGCCGTTTACTGAAATGGTAAGGGTTCTACGTGGAAAAAAAAAAAAATGGGAGTCACTGGGATGCCTGGGCGGCTCAACCGGTTAAGCCTGTGCCTTCGGCTCAAGTCACGATCCCAGGACCCCGGGATGGAGCCCCGAGTCAGGGTCCTTGCTCAGCAGGGAGCCTGCTTCTCCCTCTGCCTGCTGCTCCCCCGGCTTGTGCTCCCTCTCTCCCTCTTTCTGACAAATAAATTTTTTTTAAAAGGGGGGGGAGTTCAGTTGAAGCGTACTAATGTCGAGATGCCTACTGGACGTCCCATGGAGACCTACGACAGCCCACTGGACAGGAGAGACGAGCTGAGGGGAACAGTTCAGATTAGAAACGGACACAAATGAAGACGTGCAGGTCAGATCCAGTCCTCCATTTGTGTCCGTGGGTAAAAGCTCCTGGGACCCAGTCGTGCTGTTCAATTTACCCGCGGTCTGTGGCCGCCTCCGCACTACAGCGCAGAGCTGAGTAGACGCAACGAGGCATATGGCCCACAAAAACTACAAACCTAAAAACATAGCATATAAAATAAAATACCTTGCCCTTTATAGAAAAAGTTTGCCAAATTACATCTAATGGATAAGAATGTGAAGCTCTAGATGACAAGATCCCTGAGAGTGAGTGCAAATAAAGACAGGGTCTCAGGGATCGTGCCTTGGGACACTCCTGTCTTTCAAGGTCAAGAAGATGAGGAGAAGGGGGCGCCTGGGTGGCTCAGTGGTTAAAGCCTCTGCCTTCGGCTCAGGTCATGATCTCAGGGTCCTGGGATCAAGCCCCACATCGGGCTCTCTGCTCAGCAAGGAGCCTGCCTCCTCCTCCTGTCTCTCTCTGCCTGCCTCTGCCTACTTGTGATCTGTCAAATAAATTTTAAAAAATTGAAAAAAAAAAATCTTTAAAAAAAAAAAGAAGAAGAAGATGAGGAGAAGTCTGCAAATGGTGAGAAAGACTAGCCTTGGCTGAGGAGGAGAGAACAGCGTCAAGGCAGAAGAAGAGTGAGAATTACTGAGCAACACGGAAGTCACTGGGAACACATCAGGATGTGCAAGCCTCACAAGAGCAGCCCAAGGCCAACAGGCACAGGAAAATTAGAGAGGTGGAGTTAGGGGTGCAGACGCTTTCAAGGAGCTTTATTCTTAAGAAACAAAAACAAAAAAAACTGACGTGGTAGTAGGAGGGAGATGTGGGGCCAATAGGAAACGTGGCTTGCCCCGACCCACGATGCACAGGAAATCTGTAATTAGAGAACACAAATCCGTGCACACAGTACCAGAGAAAATCCACAACAGCTACACCATCGGACTCTCTTCTATACTAACAGAAAGCCGCGGATCACTAAGAAGAGCTTAAGAACAAGCAGCAGGAAGGAGAAATAGCAGCAACAGAAAAAGTGAGAAAGCAGACAAATCGGGAAACAGAAAAAGCAAATTCATTGAGATACACTCTTTTTTAAGACTTTATTTATTTGAGAGAGAGAGAAAAAGCGAGCACAAGCAGGGGGAGCCACGAGGCAGAGGGAGAAGCAGACTCCCCGCTGAACAGGGAGCCCAATGCTGGGCTCGATCCCAGGACCCTGGAATCACTACCTGAGCCAAAGACAGATCCTTAACCAACTGAGTCACTCAGGTGCCCCTACAGAGACATTTTCTCAAATTACTAATAAGATAATATGAAAACTGAAAAAAAGTGGTGTTTTTGCAAGTAAAAACATAATAGCCAAAATTAAACATTCAAAAAAGAAGGTCTGGAATTGAAATCTCACAACCCAGAGAAGAAAGAAAAAGTTACAAAAGAGGAAAATTTAAGACAAAGAAGCCATCCAAAAGCTCTAACATTCAACCAACAAGAGTCCCAGAAAGAAAAAAAATTAAATAAAATGGAGGGGGAAAAATTTTTCCCAAGAAATCTTAACAGAAATGCTCACAAATCCTCAAAAGAGCCCAAGTGTCCAGCACAACAGCTAAAAAAAAGAGCCAATTTAGACACCGCCTCAAAAAAGTTCCAAACATAGGGGTACTTGGGTCACTCCGTCGGCTAAGCGTCTGCCTTGGGGCTTGGGTCATGATCCTGGGGTCCTGGGATTGAGCCTCACACTGGGCTCCTTGCTCAGCGGGGAGCCTGCTTCTCCTTTCCCTCTGCTTGTGCGCGCGCTCGCTCTCTCTCAAAAAAACAAGTAAAACCTTAAAAAAAGTTTGAAACCTCAAGGACAAAGCATTGATTCTAAAAGCTTCCAGAAACAAAAGAAGTTAAGTCATCGACAAAGGAATGAGGAGACCAGCTCTGATAGTGAAATGACACCTTCAAAGTTGTAAGGAAAAGCTGATCTCCCCTACCCAGACGTGAACCCATTCAGTGTGAAAGCAGAGTAAAGAAACTCCAATGGCTCAGCTTCAAGGAGGGTCATCTAACCCGTATCAGCAAAGAGGTGGCCCACGATAAAGCCAATGAGATCTGAGGAATGTCTGTGTTAATTACTATCAGGAATCGGTAACTTTAACATCGATAATCTAGAAACACAGCACACACAGGTTAAAAAAACAGCCATCAGAGGAACCAAAAATACAGAACAGCTCAAAGGAGATTCACTAGAGAGCACTTTTCATTATGAACCTTTCTCACGCCTGGACTTGGGACAACCTGCGAGTGCAGATGTGATCTTCTAGAAAACATTAAAAGCACACACGAGAGAGGCTATGAGTGAGATCTTCTATAAATAACATAAAAGGACTTCATTTCAGCTGCTCAGATGCCTTTTTCACCTTTCTGCCGGTTTCCCACCTCTGTTGCTTACAGCTGAACTTCGCATTACGGGACCCTCAACTAAGAAGTGGAATATAGGGGCGCCTGGGTGGCTCAGTGGGTTAAGCCGCTGCCTTCGGCTCAGGTCATGATCTCAGGGTCCTGGGATCGAGTCCCACATCGGGCTCTCTGCTCAGCGGGGAGCCTGCTTCTCTCTCTCTCTCTCTCTCTCTCTCTCTCTCTCTCTGCCTGCCTCTCTGCCTACTTGTGATCTCTCTCTGTCAAATAAATAAATAAAATCTTTAAAAAAAAAAAAAAAAAAAAGAAGTGGAATATAGACCCTTCGCTGCACTTCCGCAAAACCAAGAAATATTACTCTGCAAATGTCCACAGGAGGGCAGTGCACCCCTCTTCAGTCCGACAAAAATATCTGGACACTGACTTTTTTCCTAAACTTCATTTTCACGTCCACCTTAGAATCCTCTGACCAGTTGTGGCCTCCATAACGAGGAAGCCGGCAGCGTATGCGTCTGCAGCACGTATCTACTTTAAACACTATTCAGTATCTATGGTCAGCCACTTAACACTATTAAACAAAATACACTTTACTAAGTGGACGTGTGAAGTTGTGAAAGTCAGGCCGCACCCGGGACACCATGCGGACATGGTCTTTTCACTGTCCCCTACTTCTACGCGCACCATCAGTAACAGGCTTAGACCTCCGTTCTGCAGAGGCAGAGGTAACCTTCAGAACAGAGACCCTTCACGACGGTGACCACCTGACAACACCAACCCGCTGGAACTGGGCCCAAGGAATAAAAACCCACCTGGCAGCCCAGAAAGGAAAAATGTAAGCTGGAAAAGGGAAAAAAGAAGATGAAAAAAAATTAGAAGACCAATTCCGTTCGCTGTTAGTGGACACTTTCAAGGCATCTTGTACAAGATCAGGAAACCCAAGGAAAAGCACCGCATGAGGTTCTCACCTTTGCGGTTCCAGTCTGGGAACCATAGAAAATCTTCACTCCGGACACGGAGACCTCCTTCCTTTGAAGAGAGATAGAACCTTCTGTCCCCAAATCCCGGCTTGCTTTTGGAACAGATTTCTCCTGGGAGCTCTTGTCCTTGAAGACAAACAAGTACACAAAGTCCATCAGGTCCGAATCCTCTCCCAACTTCAACAGGGATGAAAACTAGCAGACACCTACGGACTTTACTCTTCTCCTGATCCCTCTGGTGTCCTCCTCAATAAAGACCCGTGGTTATACAGCTGGGTCCCTGAAAGGCCGGACCCAGGCTTGTTGAGACTATAAAGACCCCACTCCCTCCAGGAAAAACCGCGCATACACCCCCGCGAGACGGGCTTCAGCGAAGGGACAGCAGGAACTACGCACTGATCCTGAGTTAGGGGTGAGGAAGGAGGAGATACCTGCCCTTTGGAGACACGGAGGAGATTCTTTTTTTACAAGTTTACTTTTCCACTACGGAGTCTTCCTGTAACTCGAGAGCGAGACACCCACAGCCCCTCAAAACATACGTATTTAACTTAGTCCGTAGTAACTTGGACTCTAAAAACGAGAATAAATTCTTTAGGCATAAAAAAAAGTCTAGACACCACACGGAAAGTGCAGGCTCCTCTCAGCTCTTCCGAACCCCGAGAGAACCCGCCCTGATGCCCTGCGCGAATCGGGCCCCTCCGTGCTCCCCGTAAGAAGGAACCGCTTACCCGCCTCCTGATGACGATCTGGAAGCAAATCCACAGGCTGATGCCACAGGCCAAGCCCACGTACACGTAAAACCTGTTTGTCCACAGCGAGACCCAGGGCGACGCGGAGTCCCAGGCACCCGCGGGATCTGCATCGGAGCGACACGCACGAGTGACCTGACTGGGAGCGCACAACGCGGTTCACCCCAGCCGCAAAGACACAAACGGAACCTGACCTTCGCCTTCACGGACCGGGTCGGACGCCAACAGAAGCGGCGCGGCCCGCACCCGGAGCGGCAGGACACCGCACGGACCGCGCGCACCGGAGGGCGGCAGGGCGCCGCGCGGACCGCGCGCACCGGGGGCGGCAGGACACGCGCGGACCGCGCGCACCGGGGGGCGGCAGGACACCGCGCGGACGGCGCGCACCGGGGAGCGGCAGGACACAGCGCGGACCGCGCGCACCGGAGGGCGGCAGGACACCGCGCGGACGGCGCGCACGCGGGACACGACGCTCGGAGCCCGCGGCGCTCCTTCCAAGGAGCTTCCCGCCTCGGACACCCCGCCGCCCGCACGGGGTCCACCGCCCGCCGCCCTCGCACCGCCCCTCCCGCAGCGCGGAAACAGGCCGAGCCTCCCGGTGGGACCCGCACGCGGGTCAGAGGACGAGCCCGGAAGGCGGGCGGCGGGGTCGGGGTCGGCGCCCCGCGAGGGAAGCACCGAGGGCCCAGCGCACGCGGGGAGGAGAGCCGGCGCTTCGCCCGCGCGGGACTCAGGTCGGACGCTTGGTCCCCTCCAGGCCTATCCCGAGCCCCGCGGGGGCAAGCCCAGTCCGCACCCCCCCCGGGGTCAGCGGTCCCCGCCGGCGGCAGCAAGCGCCGAAGCACGGGCCGCAGCACCGCGCTCCGCGGGGAAACACTCCGGGGACGCGGCTTCCTCCCTCCTCCCGCCGCACCTGTGCCGCCCGCCGGAGGGCCCTTACCCATGCTCCTCAGAGACCGGCCCGCGGCGCACAGACCCCCGGACCGCAGACCGGGAGAGCCCGGCGCCGGCGCGCGCACACGGAGGCCGCCGAACTACCCTGAAGCGCGGCCAGCGCGCTCCGACGCCTCAGCGCTGGGGGCCGCCATGCCGGTCGCCGGTGCGTCGGGATTGGCTCCGACGAGAAGGGGCGGGCCCCGAGGGAAGCACCGCCCACGGCTCCGGGTGACGCTCCCGAATTGGTGCGGAGGCGCAAGAGGCGTGCCCAGAGGGGGCGGGCCAGGGAGGCGTGGCGCCGGGGAGAGACTCCTGCGAGAGACACGATCCCGGAGAGAGCAGCGTCCGTCCGACGGCGTGCGCGGCCGCGGCCGGTCCTCGGTGGGAACGCAGCGACCACAGAAAGGGCTCGTTTCGGGGACTGTGGTTGTGGACCGGCGATTCGCTGATCTTGCCGGGCGCGCCTGGAAGGAGTAGACACGGACGCACTTAAAGCTAACGCAACTGGCTGTAATTTACCCCAACGAAAAAAGGGGGAGAAGGACACAAGGCCGGCAGAGCGTTGATCATCGTTGAAGCGGGGCGATGGGCTCGCGGGGGTTCGTCATCCTTTTTTCTCAACTTCATCTTAGTTTTCCCGCAAAAAAGAGTTAAGGTAGGGTGGCCCCGAGCTCTGCGGAACCAAGAGGGGCGGACGCTACGTTTCCGCCCGGTTGCGGAAACAGCCCGTGCACTTCCCAATCAGGGCGGCGTAGCTCATTGGCGGAAGTGTATTACGTGAAGGAAGAGAGCCTCGCTTGTCGGCTGCGGAACGACGTCGTAAAAGCCGCAGCGCGCATGCGTTGTTGCTCCCTTTTCCCCCGACTTCCGGCACACCCGACGCCTGCGCAGTAGGTCAGCCGGGTGTGGGACGGTGGCGGATCCGCGAGGCCCGGGTCTCCACAGCGAGCGCGGGTGGTCCTCAGGCCGGCGGCGCGGGTGAGCCTCGGCGGCCCGGCCGGGTCTGCGCGCGGCGGCCATGTCCATCTTCACGCCCACCAACCAGATCCGCCTGACCAACGTGGCGGTGGTGCGCATGAAGCGCGCGGGGAAGCGCTTCGAGATCGCGTGCTACCGCAACAAAGTGGTCAGCTGGCGCAGCGGCGTGTGAGTGTCCGCGGCCGGCCGGGCGGGGCGGGCGGGGCGGGCGGGGCGGGCGGGGGGGGGGGCCGGTTCCGAAGGGCTCGTGGAGCCGCTGGTGTCGCCCCTGGTGTCGCCGGGGTCGGCCGGGGTCCGCGGGCGCAGGGTCCCCACCGCCGCCGTCGGGCACCGGGACCTGCGCCCGGGCAGGAGCGGGGCGGCGGCCGCGGTTCGGGGTTCGGAGCGCGCGCGGGCGGCGGCCGGCTGGGTCGCGGCGTCCGGACGTTCACGCAGCGCGTGTCCCGCCGTCGGCAGCGAGAAGGACCTGGACGAGGTGCTGCAGACGCACTCCGTGTTCGTGAACGTGTCCAAGGGGCAGGTGGCCAGGAAGGAGGACCTGCTGAGCGCGTTCGGGACGGACGACCAGACCGAGGTCTGCAAGCAGGTGAGCCGCGGCCGCCGCGACGTCCTCGCCGCGCGGGCCGTACCCGGCGGGGCTTCGGCCGGGTCCCCGGACTTTGCTTTGACCGGGGCGTGGCGGGGGCTGGGGCTGCCTCAGCGGGTCTGCGCCGGGAGCAGAGCCCAGCGCGGCCCCGTCTCCGCCTGAGGGCGTGACCCGAGATGAGGAGGGGTCGGACCGCAGTGGCCCGAGCCCCCAGGTGCCCCCGCAAGCTCTGTGCGGTGGCGTTCGTGTCCGGTGCTCAGCGTGGTCGGCGCGGTCCCCGCCCGTCCACCGGCAGTGCCGCTGCGGTCCTGCTGGGCCCGTGCGCGGTGTCCCTGTCGGCTCTGGGACGTCTCTTGTACCCGGATGTCAGACCTTTAGCCGCTGTCCCCGTGTCGTGCGGTCCCTAGTCCCCCGCCGACTCACTGGTGGGAGCCCGCTGTGGCTGTCGTCCGTCCCTGGCGCTGTCCGTTCCGCGCGCAGTGAGGCCACGCGGTGCTCGTCCTTCCCCCACTTCCTGAGCATCGTCCGTCCGGGCCTGTCCTTGTCACTGCAGGTGGCAGGACTCGGTCTTCCCACGGCTGAGCCCCGTCCCGCGTGCGCGTGTCCACGCGTCTGCGCCCTGACGTTCGGGCCGCCCTGCCGTACCCGTCGGGGCGCGCGGCTCCGGTCTGCAAGGCGGCAGCTGCGCGCGCCGGTCCTCGAGGACAGTTTGCTTGCTGTGTTGCCGCCGCGGTGTGCGGGTCTCGGGTCTCACGGTGTTTCCGCTTCTAACCTTGTGAGGAGCCTCGTCCCGTCCTCCCCGTGGCTGCGCCAGTTTTCGTGCCCGCCGGGCTGCGAAGGGCTCCCCTCGTGCACGGCGCCGCAGCGCTGCGTTTCTTGGTGTTCGGGTTCTTACTCCAGTGGCTCCGACGGGCGCGGCGGCGACTGATGGTGGCCCTGCTTGGCGCTGCCTCGGTGACCGGTGACGTGAGCCTCGTTCGTTTGTCTCCTCGGGAACTGCCTGTTGAGCTTCTCTGCGCTTCTTCATCGCATCATTTGGGGTTTTACACGGTGGCGCCATTTGTAATAATCCAGGACGTGCGCAACGTTGCCACGCCCCGAAGTTAAGTTTTCTACTGATCTGCTGCACTTTGTGCGTTTATGTATTTCTGGCCTAACATACCTGAAGATATAATTTCTTTTCGAGGTTTTCGCCATTGACGACTTGTGCAGTGTTGCCCTTTCCCTTGGCCCCACCTAAATATGAGATCTGGCGGCACAGGTTAATCCAGGGTCTCCTGTGGGCGAGCTCAAACCCCGACTGGTGTACGGGTAGCTGAGGAGGCTGGGGCTCGGTTCCTCCCCAAGTCGTTAATTCCTGTGCTTAGTTCCCAAGTAATGTACAGTGAAAACTTTGTTCTTTTAAATCTGTTGGGTTTTCTAGATTTTGAGTAAAGGGGAGGTCCAGGTGTCAGATAAAGAGCGGCAGATGCAGCTGGAGCAGATGTTCAGGGACATCGCAACCATTGTCGCCGACAAGTGTGTGAACCCTGAGACGAAGAGACCGTACACGGCCATCCTGATTGAGAGAGCCATGAAGGACATCCACTACTCGGTCAAAGCCAATAAGAGTACAAAACAGCAGGTGAGTGGTTTTCAGGGTCAAAGAATCCAAATAAAAGTCCGTTTCCTCCCAAGAAAACATTGAAATGGTCAGTCTGTAACACTACACTACTTAGAAGCGGTGGGGCAGAGGTTTTGGGGAAGGGAAGGAAGTGAGGGGTTATAGGGAGGAGGAGTGGAATTCTGTTTTAACAAAGCACAAACGTACTACGGCTCTCCTCTTTCTTTCCAGATCAGTCTTTTAGAGATAAAACTTGGGTTTTTTTAAAGATGTATTTATTTATAGGAAAGAGTATGCGCACGAGCTGGGGGAGGGACAGAGGAAGAGGGGGAGGGTCTCTAGCAGACTCCACACTGAGCGAGGAGCCCACCACAGGGCTGGATCCCACAAATGTGAAACCATGACCAGAGCCAAAGCCAAGAGTCAGATTCTTCACTGACTGAGCCGCCCAGGCACCCCGGAACTTGGATTTCTAAAGAGTCATTTCAGCTCTGTATTTTGTATTTTTTTATTTACACATATTTCATGTGCCACACAAAAAAGTCATCTTTTTATAGGGTGTAATTCAGTGGCATGTTCACGAAGTTTGTGCATCCTTCCCCGTCACCTAGTTTGAGAACATTTCTGTCACCGCCCAGAAGAAACCCTGTCGCCATTAGCAGTCACTCCTTGTTTCCTGCCTCTCACAAGTGTTTGGCAAATTTTTGTCTCTACGGACCTTTCTGTTCCAGACATTTCGTAGGAATGGAATCAAGCGGCCTCTGAAGGTTCATACCTGTTACCGTACATCAGTGCTCGTTCCTTTTTAGGACTCAGTAGTAACCGTTGTGTGGAAATACCGTATTTTGTTGGTGGATATTTGGGTGGTTTCTACTTTTTAGCTATTCTGAATAACGCTGCTACGAAATCCTGTGTGTACGTTTTTGTGTGTACATGTTTGCATTTCTCTGTACCCAGAAGTGCAATTACCGGGCCATACGGTGGCTACATTTAACTTTGAGGAACTGCCGAGCCATTTTCTGAAAGAGCTGAGACATTTTACATTCCCACAGCCCGTGCTTAGGGGTTCCAGTTTCTCCACGTCTTTGATGATGTTTGTAATTAATCCACCTTTTCTACTAGAGCCGTCCTGGGTGTATCTTCTGGGTTTGGTTTGCATCTCCCTGATACCTGCGATTTCAGCATACTCTCATGTGCGTATTGACCCTAGTCCTCAGTGGAGAAAACACGGTCTGTGTCCTTTGACTCTTTCTTAATGATCTGTGTCTACATCATCCAGTCGTAAGCATCCTGTACGTGTTCTGGATGCTGGTGCCTCATCAGACGTGCGACCTGCGTGTGTCTTCTCTTCACTGGGTTGTCTTTCCACTTTCTTGACCGTTTTATGAAACCCAAAGGTTTGTCTTCGTTAAGTCCCAATTTATCACTTTTTTCCTACAGTTGCTCCTGTTCTCTGTGTCCTGAGGACTGTCGCCCGATTCAGCCAGATAGAACCTGCTTGGTTCTGAATCCCTTACAAAGAAATGCAGCAGAAGCAGCAGCAAAATGGCCCTCGTTGTCCATTTTGTCTCCCTAGGCTTTGGAGGTGATAAAGCAGTTAAAGGAGAAAATGCAGATCGAACGCGCCCACATGAGGCTCCGGTTCCTTCTCCCAGTGAACGAAGGGAAGAAGCTGAAAGAAAAGCTCAAGCCCCTGATCAAGGTCGTAGAGAGCGAGGACTACGGCCAGCAGTTAGAGATTGTAAGATGAACACACTCTTGTTCCCTTGCTTCCATCTTACCAAAGTCGTCCGTTCTGTGGTCCTAAGTGCGTAACAGACACTTAGAGGGTGTGAACAATAAGACATTGCCAAGACCTCTGACACAGAATAAAGTAAGAATGTCGAGGTCTAAGTAAAACTAAGTTGTAGTTAAGCACACTTGGGATTTTGTTGTTGTTGTTAAGTCCGCGCTCATTTTGGAGGAGAGACTGTTTTACAGGGAGTGTTCTGTTAGAGAAAATTGGAAATAAGACTAAAAGTTGGACAGTCTTATTTACCACAGAAATTTTTTTTTTCTTTTTGAAGATGCATTTATGTGAGAGGGTTTGGGGGGGCATAGGGAGAGGGAGAATCTCAAGCAGCCTCCCTTTTCAGTTCAGAGCCAGACCCCACGCTCAGTCCCACAGCCCTGAGCTCACGATCGGAGACAAAACCAAGGGTCAGATGCTCAACCGCCTGAGCCACCCAGGCACTCCTTACCACAGGACATTTTGTAGAAATAACAGAAACCTTGTGTCTTAGGTCCTCACGCCACGCTGTCAGACACAGTATAGGGTCTGTTTTCTGCAAATTCATGCCTTGAGATTCTGCAAGAGTTCCGTGTAAATGAGCTCTAGACGGATCGTTGCGCGTCCCCGCAACGTGGAACAGCACGGCTGACGTTTTGAAGTTCTCAGATCTTTTCAGAACTTCACATGTGATTTCTAAATGGGCCTTCGAGCTTCTTTTTCTCCTTCAGATGTCCATAAAAAGCGGTGCTTTCGCAGAACTTTAAAGGTTCATGCTAAATTTCAGTGCAAAAGAACCATAGTATTCTAGTCCCATTCACTTTATAGCCAGGGAATCCAGAGACGTCCTCAGGCAGGGAGCGGACGCCTGTGCCCGGGGCTCACACGCACACTTAGAGACAGAGGCTGCTCTGGCTACCTACATCCAGCTACTGGCGTACTAGGTGTTTACCCAGAGGATACAGAAACACTGAACGAAGAGGTACATGCACCCCAATGTTTACAGCAGCAGCAGCCACAGCCACACTACGCAGAGAGCCCGAGTGCATCAGCTGCTGAAGGGAGAAAGAGGTTGCGGCGTCCATGTGCAGCAGACCGTGGTACAGCCATCAGTGAGACGAGATGGGCCATCTGCAGCAGCGTGGCCGGAGCTAGAGACCGTCACGCTGAGCCAAATAAGTCCGAGAAAGTCAGATCCATGATTTCACGCACATGTGGAATTCAGGAAACAAAACATGAACATGAGGGGGGGGAGAGAGACAACAGCGGAGGGAAGCAAACCATAAGGGACTCTTGGTGAGGATAGAAGACAGGGATGATGGGGAGGGGCTGGATGGGGGTGGGTACCGAGGGCACTTGTTACGACGAGCGCGAGATGTTACTGTGTAAGCCGTGAATCCCCGAATTCTGAAACCAGCAGTGCACTGTGCTGACGAGAATTTAAATAAAACCCGGGGTGGGGGGGAGAGACAGGCTGGACTCGAACCCGGTCCGGTGCCGCTGTGTGGTCTTGGCTCTTGTGCTGTAGAGGCCGAGCAGTAGGCACACTCGGAAAGTGCGCATTTGTCCCCGGGACGGCGGTGCTGTGTCGCTCTGTCTCCCCGAGGTGAGCAGCTCTGTTCGTGTTTCAGGTGTGTCTGGTTGACCCGGGCTGCTTCAGGGAAATCGACGAGCTGATAAAAAAGGAGACGAAGGGCAGAGGCTCCTTGGAAGTGCTCAGCCTGAAAGACGTGGAGGAAGGAGAGGAGAAGCTGGAGTGACGCCCGACAGGCTCCGCAGCCCAACGCTACAGCGCGCTCTCCCCTCAGCCCCTCCTCTCTGGTCCGCCAGACTCGTGCTCAGACTCTGACGTGGTCCGTCCTTGTGCTCACGTGTACACAGACACACCCTTCTGATAGGTAGTACGCTGCGGGGCTCACTCAGTTTTAGTCATAAGGTGGGGTTTCGGGCAAAAATGAAAAATCCAAGATGGTGAGGGCAGAGGAGCGTTTTGCTGCTGTCTCGTGCCCCGGACTTTCCGGCCTGCAGGTGATCCGGGGCAAGTCCATGGGGAGACAGACTTTGTACGTTATAACAGGAGACATCTAGGAGGATATGACAAAAAGGAAGTGTTTGTTGAAGAAAACATAATGTCCTATTCTGACTTAATGAGACGTGTGGCCTAATCCATAGCTTGGACGATGACCCTGAGTATCCGGAAGTAGCTCTGGGGTGACCCAGGACTGACGCGGTTCTCACCGACCGTGCGGTCATAACCTTCATGATTCCCAGCAAAGAATAACATAGTATCATCGGTTTCTGACCCTTAAAGTTTATAATGTATGTTAACAGAGTGGAATTATACGTAATCAATAAAAGCACTCTTTATTTTTTATTGAACGACGGCGTTTGTTTCTAGACCGCTTCCAGGCTCCCTCCCTTTCCTCTGCCCCTGTGTAGTGCTCCGGGGAGTTCTCAGCAGGACGAAGTAAGTCGCGCGAGGGGCGCTTAGAACAGGGCCTGTTCGGACGGACACCAGATAAGTCTTTGTGATTTGGGAAGTAATTGAATACAATTATTTTGGTACATATACACTTAAATGGACAATACGCAAGTCTTCTAAAATTACTTCAGAAGAGATGTTGTAGAATACAAATTGGGATTTCACTCAAAATTAACGTGGTTGTATTTTGTGGACGCAAGTTTTTAACTGAAGGAGTTTTGTATTTGAACAGGCCCGGGCGGGTTTTATAAGTACGCACAGTTCACTGCTAATGCAGCTTCTCAGAAATGGCCCATTTAAAAATAATTAATGGAAATTGCAAAGTCACACTGTTCCACACAGTGTCAGAAGAAGTGTCCTGCTGGGTGTCTTGGGAACACACTTTCTGTCACGCTGGAATGAGTTACTGCTCTGCTGCTGGTCCTTAAGGTGGCATTCTCACTGACTTCACTCACCCGGTGAAGTTCGTTGTTTCATGAAGATGGTCTAAACTTGAAGGCCCAGAAGATAATTTTTAGCCAATGAGGTTGACACTTTATCTCCAGCTTCGACAGTGTTTGAGGTTGAAAATCCTACTCAGTGGGAATGTTCATTTAGCTGCATCTTGAGTAGGAAGGTTCAACGGTTAGCTAGCCCCTTCAGTTCTTCTCATTATTCATCGAAAAAGCTGGAGCCTTAAGAAATGTAAAATGTAGATCACATAATGAGTCACACTTCTGAGCCTATAAAAAGTAAGTTTTTACCACATATTAATCTCATTACTCAAAAGTAGTTACATGGTTGTGCTGTGTTACTTAAAACAACTTATTTATTGGAGAGAGGCGGGGGGAGAAGGGGGAGCAAGGGAGAGGGACAATAGACTCCACATTCAGTGCAGAGCCCAACGTGGGGCTCTATCCCAGGACCCCACGTTCATGACCTGAGCTGAAGCCACGAGTCAGGTGCTCAACTGACTGAGCGACCCAGGCACCCCACACTGTGTAACTTTTGACCAGAAATTAATACCAGGCGATTGGTAGACGGGAAGTATCCTCAAGGTAGTCCCCATGTTAGACCCGGTTTCTGAGCAGGAGGCAGTGTAACACCCCAGAAGACATTTTAATGTAAAAATTAGTCCTTCTCCTTCAGGAATAGCAAGTAAACAGTGTAGGGACAAAGTCTACCGCAAAACACAGAATTTCTAACGAATTCACTTCTTTCTAAGTTCTCGTTTCCTTGGCCTGGGTTTCCATTCGCTGCTTCTCAAGGCTCCACTTTGTCCTCATAGATACTCTGATTTCCGAAACAGCTGCAGAATCCATGAAAGGCAAGTGCCTCGCAGCTCCCTACCCTCCAGCCTCCTGCCTCCAGCCCCCACGCTCACACCACCACACCACGCACTTCCAGACGCTGTCCTGAGCGGGGCGGGCGGGGGGGCCGGGCAATTCGCCATTTCTGTTTACTCACCGTAATACCCCGCCCAGGGCTCCTGGGTGCCTCCCGTTCTCAAATGTGTTTGCAGGAAAACAGTTTCCTCTTCAAAGGACCAAAGAATGTCAAATGACAAACTTCTCTCTCTTAGACGTCTTCGTTTTACAAATTCATGACAGCTGTTGCATTTTCTGATTCCAGCTCTCTACAGTAAGACGTTCCACCTCCAAGTTTTGCAGAAAAATTATGAGTGTACTCAGAGCTTTTCAGAGAATTCTGAGCAATTTCGCTACCAGATTTGCTCAAACAAAACAGTGACAATGGCTGAATTCTCCCTGCATGTTTGCTAATTCAGTCCTTTCTGTATTACAGCTGACCCTTCAATGGCTCAGGGGTTAGAAGTTCCGGCCCCTGCCCTCCCCACCGGGGGAAGCGAGTAGTCCAAGATCCATATAACTTTGGACCCCCGAACACTCAACCACTGATAGCGTACTGTTAACCAAAGCCCCAATAACAGAATGAGTCGATTAACACATAGTTTACATGTGTGTATCATATACTGTATGTTTATAATAAAGTAAGCTAGAAAAAGAAAATCATAAGGAAGAAAAACACATTTACAGCACTGTACTGTCTTTACCAGAAAAACCCGCATATAAGTGGACCCACACGGGGCAACCCGAGATGCTCAAGGGTCAACTAAACAAACACAGAGCTTTGTGTGATTCATGTGTCTTGGGGACCCGCTCGTGACTTTGGCTCTTCCAGTTCAGCAGTTGTGCAAGTGCGGTCCCCTGGCCAGCAGCATTAGAACCTCTTGGGAACTTGTTAAAAACAAACATTCTTGAACTTGGCTCCAGACCTAATGAATCAGAGACCTGGGGGCAGGGCCCAACCGTCTGTTGCAGTGATCTCTCCAAGTGATTCAGATGCGCACTGGAGTTTGTAAGTCAGTATTTTAAGCCAAGAACAAGCATTTAGATTGTTCAGAGCTCAGATGGGGACATGGGAAAGCCGAGAAGCCAAATGCATATGAAGGAAAGACTTTCATTCCTGCGAGCTTTCTGCAACAGATTTTCTAGAAACTTGATGACCATCTGGGGAGGCTAAAGGAACTAAAAGAAAGCATCAAACAGATTTGTTTTAAAGCATTATAGGAATAGAAGAAGCCCCGAGTCTGAAATGAATTTGGACAAACGGAAATTTAAATCTTACCAGTTGCGTCAACTTGGTACGCGGCGAGTGCATGTTCAGTGTTTGTCAAACCCGCGACCCTTCCATCGCTTGTCTAGAACCCGTCACTCCGTCTCTCCGGAGCTGGGGCACAGGCGTGCGAGAGCATCTGGCTCCGGGGGCCCCAAACGGACCAGGTCCAGTCGCTCGCAGAGAGACAAGTGACAGTGGAACAAGAAAGGAATTTATTCCAGTGAGGCCAACACTGGGAAGGCAGTGGACTAGCGTCTCAAAGACTGTCTTCAAGATGCTGAAAATATTCCAGGTTGATAGGGAAAATGGGGGGTGAAGGTCGTTGGGCACCTGCAGGCGGCCGTAAAGGTCAGGTCATCACTGTCTTGGGGTCAGTCACAGGTGGGGTCTGGCTGGCTCGGGGCCGTCTTTGCTGGAGCGGGTAGTTTCACTTCCCATCAAGGGATGCTTTGCCTGCAGGCTCTTTTGCTGAGTTCAGAGATACCTGGAAAGACCTTAATGCATTAGAAGGTTTGAAGTCAAAATGGAAGTGGTTGAAATCCTTGGTTTCCACACATGGAGAAACTTGCAACCATAGGTGTGGCCTGGCCGCAGACCCTACTAAGAAGATGCAGTCGTCCCTGTGAAAAGCTTAGAGTTGGGAGTGAGGGTCAGGTCTTCAGCCGGCGGCTGGCCCTGGAACACAGGGTTTCAGGAGGTACGGGGCCACCGTCCTTCTCTACAAGGACAAAGACCGGAGAGAAAGGAGCCCTTCTGCGGTGGCCAGAAGGATGCGTCGAGGGTGTGTTTGCCAGGCTCCCAGCTCCTTCCTGATCCAAGTTCAAGGTCCTCCTGGCTCTGGTGGCAGGTCTGACTGTGGGCTCTGCAGAATGTCTCCGGACCCTCCCTGCCCCTCCATTTTTGATTCCTTTGCAAGACTGAGCTCTAGTTGGTTTCTGTGACTCACGACCAGGAAGGCTTTGCTCAGACCTGTGAGCAATCACCTAGTTTCACCCAAGGTCAAGGTCTGCGTTTGCGGAAGGAGGCCCACAACTGCTGCTTCATTGATGGGCGATGACCTAAGTGAGACAACACTCAGAAGAGTGTCTAGAACACCATGGGCTCAATGAACTGCCCCTTCGAGTCATGAGCCTGAGCTCCGTACCCCCCTCCCTGGTCCGGCACAGGAGGACCGGGTGGCTCCCCGCACTGACCCGAAGCCGGGGTGACCACAGATCACTCGTTCTCACTGGCAAGGACATGCGGACAAGGTGCTTGCTGGGGATTTATTTCACTATCTGAAAACACTGCGTTTTGGAAAAGCTTCTTTCCTTTTCTGTGATGACTTTGCCTGGGTCTTTCAGAACAAACCTTTAAGACAACAAACACAGAGCTTTTGCTTCCTTGATCCACAACAAATCCGTAGACAATGCCGGGTGCTGGGGACACAACCACAAGCGAGACACAGTCTTTGCCCTCAAGGAGCCGCAGGTGATGAAGGAGAAAAGTCTGAAAACACATCAGGATACGTGCAACGGGACGGATGCACGTTGTACTCTGCTGTGCTCAAGTCTGTTCCACGGACTCTCAAAAAACACTGAGAAATCAGATGTGCCTGCTCCCCTCTCCCTGTAGGAAATTTACTGGGGGGGGGAGGCGGGGAACGACCTTGATGCTGCAAATGTGAATTCCATTTGCGTCCGCACCAAGAGCTCTGTGGTTTGTATTTTCCTGTGAAATAATGCATTGTGGCAGATGTTAAAATACAATTTCTACCGAAATGGGAAGGCAGAGATGAAAAATACAAGGGAGATTTCTGGTTTTGCTTCCAGGCAAAGCATCGAGACGGACTTTCTTTACATTTTACTTAACGTGTGTATTTCCCCAGTAAGTCCTGGCAAGAGAGAGTGGGAGGTGTTCTTGCAGCAGATGCCGGGGTTTCTAGAATCATCCCTACCCAGATGCTCCCCAGCATCCCTCCGAGCTTGGAGGCACAGAGCCCGCCAGTCTGCTCCGAGTGCCCTGGGGCGGCCTGACCCGCCTCGCAGACGGGGGGAGCTGGGCCTCTAGTCGGTGTGCCACGTGGGGGCTGGACCACACTGGTCCCGGCGGGCCCCAAGCATCCAGACTCGGAACAGCTTCAGAGAAAACTAAACTTCCCAAAGGGAAGCGCTCTGACAGTTCACCTTGACTGAAATATGCATTGCAGAAGTGCACGCGCGCCCTCCGTATTCACACGCGCGACCCTTCTTCATCCGGCGGGTCTGAGCCTGTAGTTCCCAGCCGGCCGGCGCGGGAGGAC